GGTTATTTTGCCCCAAGTGGCACAATTTGCTCCACAACAAAGTGCATGTCCAAGCATGTGCTCTGAGGCAAAAAGCCCCGGCTCAAATTTGCACTGCTTCTATTTGAGCTGCTGCAGGCACAAGTGCTTGCATGTGTGCATGCGCCCACCCACATTAACCTGCCACATGTAGCATGGGCATTCCCCGGGGACAAGTAGCAACAACACAAGGTGTGCCCTTGTTACTTGTCCGTGGGAAAAAAAATGCGACCAAAACACTGGCTTGCATCCATAGATGCTTCTCAAGCAAATCCCGGGACGTCATTCTCCCCCTGTACTCGGCCTTAGTGAGGCCGCAGCTGGAGTACTGCGTCCAGTTTGGGGCTCCACAATTCAAAAAGGATGTGGAGAAGCTTGAGAGAGTCCAGAGAAGAGCCACGCGCATGATCAGAGGTCAGGGAAGCAGACCCTACGATGACAGGCTGAGAGCCCTGGGGCTCTTTAGCCTGGAAAAGCACAGGCTCAGGGGTGATCTGATGGCCACCTACAAGTTTATCAGGAGTGACCACCAGCATCTGGGGGAACGTTTGTTCACCAGAGCGCCCCAAGGGATGACAAGGTCAAATGGTCACAAACTACTTCAAGATCGTTTCAGGCTGGACATAAGGAAGAATTTCTTTACTGTCCGAGCCCCCAAGGTCTGGAACAGCCTGCCACCGGAGGTGGTTCAAGCGCCTTCATTGAACACCTTCAAGATGAAACTGGATGCTTATCTTGCTGGGCTCCTATGACCCCAGCTGACTTCCTGCCCTTTGGGCAGGGGGCTGGACTCGATGATCTTCCGAGGTCCCTTCCAGCCCTAATGTCTATGAAATCTATGAAATGTTTTAATTGAAAAGAAGACTGGATATTTATCTAGTTCTCAAACCATGGGTGATGCATCAACTACCTCCCAGCCCTGTGGATTATGTATAGAACTTCTCCTAATGCAGAGCCTGTCGTGCACTATCCATTCTCAGGAGCTTTCTTTGTTCAGAGTCTCCAAACACAGAAAATAAATTGATTGTAAGAGGGCTGTATCCTTACCATACTCAGAGCTAGGACAGCGAATGTACTGTATTTCAATCCATCCCCTTGCCACCTTTGCTCGCTTTACATATCCAGAAGAGGGGGAGGGTCAAGGAGAAGCTTGGGCTACTTCAGGGGCGATGGATGCCTGGCTTATGGATAAAAAGGAACCTTTGGCCTGAAGTGCTGTCAGTCGCACTCTGGCCTTTCATAAGCACTACATTTTTTGCAAAAACAAGGCAACGTTGTAACTTTTCCAGAATGGTGCCAAAGCTAACAAACCCTGCAAATGCTAACACAAACAGTTAAAAGTGGCTTATAAAATGTTAAAGCACCAGATGTAGGAAAGTAAGAGGATTTGGGGGGGGTTGGGGTTTTTTTTTTGGGGTGGGGGGGAGGGAGGTTGTTAGTGTATGTCAAGCTCCAGTTCAAGCTTTTGGTAGGTTATGTATCTTCTGAACATTTCACAAGTCCTCTAGGCTGAAGGTTAAATCTTAATGGAGAAAGGTGGAAATGACTGATCAACTAAAATAACAAAGAAATGAGAATGGAGAGGACAGGATGCAGGGTGCAAGTCTTAAGTCTCTTAAGACCTTCCTACAAGTGTTTTAAGAAAGTGCTGGACCACCTCATGCTCCTTGTATGTAGTGCTACTTTGGTGTATAGGTGAAAGGGAAAAAATGACTTGCAGCATTCTGGCTGAAGAAGGGAAGGCACAATCCAGATGGGGTAGTATTGATCCCAGTAACGAAGGAAAATGCAGCTTTTGCATGTGCAATTTAATGAGCACATTTCTGTGACTGACTTCAGCACATTAAGTTGGTGTAACAGTTCTGGGACTTGTCCGGGGCTCAGGAACTTGGGGGCTTATTTCCCTGCAGACTTTTACCTATCTGACCTTGAGGAGGGTACTTAGGATGTGCCTGTGCAGCAATGACTGCTGTTCATGTCAACACATACCCCGCTTTAACCTAGTAGCTTGTGTACTGATTGAAGTGTAGCTGCAGCAGCTTGGAGCTCAGCCCAGGCTAACCACTCAAGTATTTACTTAACTTCTTAGATGAATTCAGGTAAATTCCCTGCAAGTGCATCAGAAGTGGAGAGTTGGTTTGATACTGTGGGATTGAGTGCCATGTAAACAGCTTCAGGGGCCTTGTTTACACGTGGCAGGTTTTACCATTATAGTTATACTGGCAAAAAACCTTTTCTGTGGACCAAAATCCTCTTAACAGTATATCCAGTCCTAGTTCTCCAGACTAGCACCAGCTATGTCAATAGAAGTACAGTTATGCCTGTTGAACTGAATGTACAGTAGTGTTTTTACTGGTATATCTATCTAGGGAGAAATTTTCCTCCTAACTGATGTTGCTATGTCATAAAAGACTTTTATTGGAGATTAGGGTAAATAAATGCTTGTTAAAGAGAAGAGTCCCTTGATGATTTTTGTTTGGGGTAAAGGCTGGCCACTATAGTTAGGGGCATGGACAGACAAAACATTTACACAGACTGAGAAGAGGAAGAACTTAAAACAGCTTAGCTGAGCCTGGTGCAACTGTTACACCTGCCCATTCTACCCTCCAGTTAGTGGGAACTAAAGCGCAGTATTTTACTACCTCTTTTATTCAAGGGGGTATATCATTGTGGCTTGGCTTCAATTACTGTGGGATAGGAGTGGACAGATGGAATAATTACTATTTACTGCAGATCAGCTGAGGCACACTCACAAGTAATAAGTCTTCTCCCCTACCCCACTTTAAAGAGGTATAATTGTTTATTTGTCCATGCTCTAGGCAAGACGTATATTGCCCCACATCCCTGGAATAGACCTGCTTTTGCACCAAGTAGTTGGAAATGTTCTTTTTTTTTTCTGTTAACCCCATTCTTTCTTATCCTAGCAATGTGAGAGCCTTCAGCAGTAGACAGTTGCTGCCTTCCCCTAGTAGCCTTAAAAAAGGTATCCATATCTTTCTACCAGAAATGCATATGCTCCTTTCATTCTCTGTATGTATTCTTTCCAATGTTACTCGTTTACCCAGGTGCTTTTATACCAAGAGCAGTTGGAATGCTGTCCTTGTAAAGTGATTTCTGCACCTGACTTGAACTAGCTTCTATAATCAAGAAATTAAGACTTTTTTTCCCTTTCCTCTTACTGTGCTTTCAGGTGGCAGCCAGGGCTGGAGTCTACGAGATCCTCAATCAGTTGGGGTTCACTGAGTTTGAGGACCTAGAAGACATGTCTCTCTCCAAGCTCCGTTACCGTTGGCAGGAACAGACCCTTAGTCTGCTTTCATTCCGAGGAGAGTTCATTTAGGACCCAAGACTGTGACACACCTTGGGAATTTCTGTGTTTCTCCGGACTTGGCTGGTGCTTTTTATAGGTGTGGGAGAGAGAATTTGCCTTAAGGAAAGACTGTGTTTCCAGAAAGAAGGGGAGGGAGGAAGGGGAATATAAACTGCCTTTAAGAAAACAAAAATTTATAGGGTTCTTTTAGACACAATAAAAAATATTATAAATTAAAAAATAACATTAGACAGGTGTTTAATTGCAAACATTGAGTAACTGTAAAAAAATCTCTGAAATGTTTAAAACACGATCTCCTGAATTTAGTGAATGTACTAACAGTGAGTGCCAAATTCTTCAAGGCCTTCTTCACTTTCTCAATAGCCCTGTGCGGTATGCGCTATATAGATAGATATAGCGAGAGAGAGAGAGAGACGTAAATGTATTTGCATGATGATTTAGGATTCCTGAAGAGTCCTTAAGGCACTTGAGTGAGATCTGGAGTTTTCTGTTTGTGCATATTTATTACTCTCTTTAAAATTTTATTTTATTTTTGGAGGTTAAGAAAAATATAAACTAATTAATTCACACAACCCTGCTACTGTGTAGACCCCTATTTTCAGTGCCAAGATGCTTCTGCTGCAATATAGTTAAATACAGCACTGAAGTTTCTGTTCAGTAAAAAAACAAACAGGCTTCATACATTTTATATCCAGAAATAAAAGATAATGGGTGAAATCTCAGCTCTATTGAAAGCAGTGGGAGTTTTGCAATTGATTTCAGTAGGGAAATCACAAAATACATCTAAAACCATTTAAAAAATCAAGGGAAATGTAACGAGATGGAGTTTAAAAGACTGAAAAATAAAGTGAATCAAGTGTGTTCAAACGGAATAAAATCCCATTCCCACTATCTAGAGCAAAGGGAGAGGCTGGCTGCAGAAGATTTGGTGGGCAGGAAGTAAATGGAATAGGCAAGAGCCAGCATGAATGGGAGGATAAAATAGGATATGAAGACAAAAGCATAAGTACAGTCTCTGTCTTTTTCCGACTCTGCTTTCATCTGCAGCCAGTAGTGCAGTAGGTGCAGACAGCGGTATTAAAAAGTTAATGTGAAAAAACCCCATCTAAAATGGGAAGAGGTGGTTTGGGGTTTTTTTTCCTTTGGACACATCCCTGATGCTTCTTCAAAATCCAAACTCCAAGATTTCCATTAACAAAACATTTTATTTGTGGCTTCTTTCTGCAGAAGTAGGTTGGTTTTATTTTCTTTTTTTAAAATGCAGAATTTCTGATCGTGCATTTTATATCTCCAGCAGGATATTTTGGTGTTTGAATAATTTGCTGGTGATGTAACTGAATAGTTGAATTACAGTAGTAATCTGTCGGAGCCAGTTGATCTTATTTATTTATTTTTTATCTATTATTCATGTAATATTAATACAGCCATCTGACAGCATAAAACATTTTCCCTTTTCCATGCCCCTATTGTGACAGAAAGGCAGCTACCCTGAAGTGACATAAAATCTATTTGAATTGCTCATTAGAGAGAGTTTTTTGCTCAGGTATTTAGAAAGCTTTGAAACAGCCTTGTTCTTTATTGATTTCTATTCACAAGCAGATACATGTCCTTTTTTATATTTAGTCCTTCTACTTTCTGTTTATAGAACACATGCCTTTCTTTGCAAAACTACTGTGCATCTTTGGGGCACCATTTTGTTTGTTTATTTCTTCTTTTTTTATTGTATATGACCTTTTGGTGTCCCCCCACTCCTGTTTTTGTGTTAAGGTTATGCATGGTGGCAGTGAGCAAGTGCCTTCACAAGCCAGTCTGCAGGAAATTCTTTTGATAATCTGGTACCTTCACATTTTGTATCGTGCCACCAACAAATCCAACATATTTACCAGATGCACCAAAAGTCGTGCATTTAGCATTTCTTGTAGCTGGCCAAAGACAACTACTTTTTCCTCCAGGCTGACATCTTATTGTTTTAAAGGTCTGATATCTAGGGTGAGTTCCTGACTCCCCTGAAGTCCATGGCAAAACTCCCACTGATTTCACCACTCATATCCCTACTTGCACAAGCTATAAGCATTTCAGGAAAAACTCTCTACATGACAAAAACCTCCTTACTGAACTTCAGCATTACTTTGCCTAGGCTCTTAAAGCAGCAAGAAACAGCAAAAGGCAGCCAGCCTGGGGATTGGGTAAAGTTAAGCTGGTCTTTTTCTTCTCATAACTCATACTAAGAGGGGCCACTCTCTTCCATGCACAAAGCGTAGAAGTAACCTGAGACTGTGCCTTCCCTTCCCCCAACTGGGACTTCTCATAGATCCTTCCAGGAATACAAAGCTCTGGCACTTCAGTGGTTGATGCAATTGATGTTCTTTGGTATTTGGTTTTGAAAGTAAAACTACTACAACGATGGATCTCAGTCATGGGGATCATCCAGGTTCCTTGTACATGGGACATTTCCTTTTGCCTAAGAACTAGAATGCAAATATTATGATTGATGGGTGACGGAAGATGGTGCATTAACAAGTCTATTGTACTTCTAAAGGCAGCATTTCTTTCCTATTCTTATTTTGAGCTTTTTTAATGTTGTTTTTAATGCAGACTTTAACAGTGCTATTGCACACATTTAAAATGTAGTATTTTGCCACAACTGTAGTTTGTCATAGCCTGTGGAGTTGCCAGTGAATGTACATGCATGTGATTCTGCTCCTCACTGATGGAATCCAGGTGCAGGTGGTGAGTTTACAACAGAAGCCTGGTCCTTACATCTACATGTTATATCTAAGTCATCAGCAAGACTGGGAGAAAAGCTATGGGGAGAAAAATATAGTCTTATTACAATGAGAATAAGCATAGATCTTAGGAGATCCAACCTAAGGCAGCCAGGGGCTCATTAACTCATCTTCCCCAGGGGACATTTAGCTCTGCAAGTGCTGGTTTATTTAACAGTAGGCCTAGTGAGTAGATGGCCAATTCTGAGTAAATTCAAACTGGAACACAAGAGCTTTGAAAGCCTATGAGATTGTCACCAACTTGCCCCAAATCCCCATTTATCAGTTACTTGAACTGGTAAACTTTGTTTTTTCAGTACCAAGTAGAATATGCTTTGCAACTGTTCTTATGAAAAAAACCCCACAAACATTTGCTCATCTGCCCACATTGACAGGATTATAGCTACTATAAACGGTACCCCATAGGCCTGTGTGAATAGGGAAGTATTCAATTCAGATTCGGCCGATTTGGAGGACACAGATTCGATTTGGAGATTCGGATCACTGTCCTGAATTGATTTGGCTGAATTGGCTTTGGAAGATTTGGTCCTGATTCAGAGAAATTTGATGATTCAGATCAACCAGGGAGAGACAGGCACAGCCAGGCAGCTGCAGGTTCTCCCGTGGCTCCTCCGGCTGTGTCTGCCCATCCGCGGGCAGGGAGGGCTGCAGGAGAAGCCTTGGTGGCTGCCCTGCCTGGCCCCATCCCCCACCCGGCCCCAACCTCCTAGCACTTAAAAAAAAAAATAAAATCCCCACTCTCACCAGCTGCAGCAGCAGTGATTGGGACCTCTGGGCACTCATGACAGAGCCCCCCCCCACGCAGCAGGGGGCAGTGGTGGGCAGCGGGGATCATCGCTCAACCCAGCACCCGTGCAGCAGCTGCCCCATGGCATGGGTGCAGTGTGGCTCAGCAGGGCGCTGCACACTATCTGGGAGTGGGAGTGGCTCCAGCAGTCAGCCGGAGCCCAGCACCGCTCAGCCCGAATGGCCCCAGCTCCCAGACAGTGCATGGTCCCCTGCCAAGCTGTGCTGCACCCAGACCATGGGGCAGCTGCCGTGTGGGTGCCAAGTGGGGGGGGAGGGCATCCCTGCTTCACTGCGCTGCGTGGGGCAGGGGGTCTGCCACAATTGCCCAGATACCGTTCCTGCAGCCAGTAAGTGCAGGCTTAAAAAAAAACAAAAACAAAAAACTCTGCACTCACCAGCTGCAGCAGCTGCGACTGGGTGCTCTGGCGGAGCCCCCCCGTGCAGCGCAGGGCAGCAGGGATCGCCCCCCCCCAGCACCCACACAGTAGCTGCCCCATGGCACGGGTGCAGTGCGGCTTGGCAGGGTGTTGTGCGCTACCTGGGAGCTGGGGTCGCTGGGGATGAGCGCTGCCAGGCTGCAGCTGATATGTGGAGCTGTCCCAGCTCCTAGACAGTGCACGGTGCCCTGCTGAGCCATGCTTCACCCACATGATGCAACAACTGCCATGCAGGTGCCAGGTGGGGGGGCGGTCCCTGGTGCCCCCCACTGCCCTGCACTGTGTGGTGGGGCTCTGCCGTGAGCCCTCAGAGGCCCTGATCACCACTGCCACATCTGCTGAGTGTGAGGCTTTTTTTTTTTTTTTTTTTAAAGTGCCAAGAGGCTGGGCTGGACCGGGGATGGGGCCGGGCAGGGCAGCCGTGGGGGCTTCT